CTTTCACTTGAATGGTCATACTTAAAGTTTTTGTCCATGTATCAAATAAAAAGCAAGTAGAAACAGAGGCAATCTTATGCAATCTAACCAATATCATGTATCACAAACTAAGGTGTATTTGGCAGACCCCTAGCTTAATTTCAAAAACCCCAATTTGCGATTTCAATCTGCTCAAAAGCCAGAGATGTGGTCTTGTTCAACAGGGTGAATAGAACCACAGGAACTAACCTACTAATAAACAGTTTTCTGGAGGGTCACACTCAATGAGTTCACACACAAACACAAAAGACAGATCTACTTTTAATAGCATGATAAACAACTTAACAGGAAAGACCTCTGCTTCACCAAAGTTTCAATTTTTCTTTCGTTCGGATCGCATTTTAGGTTTCGTCGATCTAGCGCTGAAACCACTTTTACAACATAAGCATTACTAAAGAAAATTTCGTCCATAGACTCAAAAGTTCAGCAACCACCTCAACTTGTACAACATAACAAACAGTACCACCGAAAAGTAATACATGCATGCACAGTAGCTTGCATTTGAATGTTCACACTTAAGGATTTCATCCCCAGACTCAAAAGTTACACCCACTTGTACAGAATAATATATACAGTGCCCGACAGGAAAGTACCGCTCAGCAGCTCTCATTTGAATTGTCACACTTTAGGATTTTATTTACAGACTCAAGACCCAGCTGTACCAGCACCATAATAAACAAAACAATAGGAGAGAGCTGCCAAGAAACGTTCCTTTGAAAGCCCGTTTTCGGTAATTTCACTCACAGACTACAATTTCCGAATCCGCACAGGGTATATGTAATAAAAAGTACTGCATGCAGCTCCATGGCTTTCGTTTGAATTAGACAGCCAGGCCTGGAAGCCACCTTATACAGCATGCCAAACCGAAATGTTGCTTGATGATAACTTCGTAAATTCAATGTAAAGTTGTCACACCCTAAGATTTCACCCACAGACTCCCGATCCAGCCAAATCATGAACAACAACGATTATCGGCATCAGCTCAGATAAAGACCAAGAGTTAGTCTTTGTTATCAAGATTATTAACTTTCTAATGATTTATAAAGCAAACTTTATTGATTTCATTGTTCAGTTGTGGTTACCAATGGACAGTAATCAAAGAAAGAGGATATATCGGCAATTCTTTAATTTCAACCAAGACGCAACATCTTTTTTCCGGCATTTTTTATTAGTGATTGTCCGAAAATAATAACAACGCTGCAATATATTTTATTCACTTCTGGTAATCCAGTTCTTCGTAAAAAATAAACCCCCGTTGATGGTACGTTCGTTTAGCGTTCTACCAACTTTTATTCCACATCTGTAACAAGTTACCCCTCAAACTGCTCGCTTTCTTGACGCTCTCTCCCAATGTGCATGTACTCAGCAAGCGAAGCAGTGTATCCTCGCGTTTATAGCTGGAATTTTACCCAAGCCAAAAGGTTGGAATAAACGTGCCTAACAAAACCAGCCCCAAATTGGATCGCGTAACCTGGTGGCTTTTCCACCGAAAGACAGACAATCATTTGTCTGATGCCTTGAGGTTATCGACGATCACAAAGAACTCCGCTCTCATAGGTGAAGTTATGAGCCAAGGACATTTATTGTAGTTTTAATTTTGAGTCTAGCCGAAAAGCGAACTGATCATTCAACTGTAGCCTCTTTGGCCACAGTCATTTTTAAAAGATTTTACAAGATATGTTTCGTGAAAGCTTTTCTTTTCTCCTCGGTGTGGGTGTTAATCATGGTTTGCCGAGGTCCTGCATGCTCGGGAACTTAAACCGCAACGTAAAGTGATTAAAGACTTTTGGGCAAACGACAAAAGGAACCGATATATAGCTTAAGCCAATCGCATTATGCTCTGACGGTTCAGGACTGTTTTGCCAGAAATATCGCCTGTTTATTAACGAATTCGTTCGCTGCTTCCGGAATTTTCGACGCATCCCGATTGTAACTAACTATAGAATTGACAGCGACCGATCATTGTAAGAAAATTGATGTTTTAATTAATTTTGCCACATTAAAGTGAACCTAATATATTCATTCTGCCTGTTTATGGTTGTTGTAAGTCTTTAAGATCTCAATTTTTAACTTATAAACAACACTATATTTACGTTTCCCTCAAAGGCAGAAGCTATAGCGCCATGCTTCGACATCAACATCTTTGCGTCCCGATTTAAAGTGTTTTAAAGACCCCCTGCCCTTCAGCGAATTAGTAGTTCCTTTGTATAGCAGAACCTTCTGCTCTCAGCCTAAGTCAATTTTTCAGTTTCAAGTTTTGCTTTCATAGCGCAAAATGGTGTTTGAAAATTGTGTCAAAATGCTGGAAAACGGTCAAACCACGGCACTGAAATGCAGAATTTTGCTTATGTACTAGATAACCATTATTTTAGCAAGATTATTGGCTCTGTTCACCCTCTCATTAACTAGGCTGGAACAGCGAAAAATTTTAAAGCATTTTAGTTTTTTACTTAACTATCCAATAACCGAGATCTCCAACACCTACCTCGGGATTGTATCTTGCTTCGGAAAGATGAAAAAACGGAGCTGCCTTGAAAAGGAAGAGGAGTGCTTTCGTACACACTTGTCAGCGTTCGCAACAGCGTGTTGTTTGTGCGACTTAAAAGCTATGAAGCGCATAAATAGATGCAATCAGTTGTATATAAAGAATCTGTATCTTTTCAATCTCTCATATCATTTTGCGGGTTTAATTAGCCGTTGACATGTTATCTATGCATTTATCTAAAGAGACAAACAACATTTTGCTAATCCGAAAACTATCCGTTGCCTTATTTATCCACAAAATCTTAATTGTTTTATAAAGGGTGTAAGGTTATTCCGCGTTGATTGCAGGCTTGAAAGTTATGCGACCATTGCATTACTCCAGAAAGAAAAAATAGGAGAAATATCTAATAATATCCTTAACTTTAATTTGTTTTCTTAAAAGAGAAAGACTATTCTAGTAAACTACAACAGAAAAACCTCGTTTTAAACGATCACGTTATTGAATTTAATTCACAGAAGTTATGTTGGAATTATAACAAGGCACGGCCCAAGGCGAACTTACAATGCAATGGAGCCGAACGCCACTGAGATAGATCAATTTGATTTCGTGGCCTTTGCATAATCATCCCTGATTAGAAATTTTTTATTTGTCGGAGGGGAAGGGGACAAATCCACTCAATTACTCACGAGCACTTTTTCGTAAGATTAAAGCCTTTTTTATTCACTCAACGTTTTTGGGCTTTCAAATTGCAAAGTTTTGCTCAGCAAAACACCTGTGTTATTTTTATCAGTAAAGTTCAAGTTTTCAATCGAAGATAATTAAGACGGCTTATCGTTCCCAAAATTTTTTCAACTACTTTTAAGTTTAATGACATTCCTGGTAATTAGTAAGTTAGCGACAAGAGAAGCCCTTTTTAGAATAGCTGGGTGGAAAGCAATTAAGGAAAAAATTTCAGTCATTCGCTTCTATTTGGAAAAACAGACCAAAGATTTGAGGGGCTATTTTTGAAAGGTTGTAGACTATCTACGAGGAATCGAAAGGGCAATGTCAAGAATTCTTCAAATTCGGCATTGCACACAGAGCCTTCAGGTTCTGGGATATGATGTACCATTAGGAAATTAGTTTTCTTGATTTTGCCATTTTTGTCAATCTTGTCGGGTTAATAATTTGTATTGAGTGGTTCTGGTATAAATGATGATGAAAGAGGCATATGAAAACATACTCCATGTTTTTCAAGCGACGTTTCCGGCCGGAAAAGAATTGTTTCAGTATAACCGATCCCAAATCGCCGTTTAAATGTTTAGTAATAGTTTGCCTCTTTCAGGTTTCAAGTTGAATTGATATGCATTTCCTCATTGTCGCGACAATCAATTCACAAAGTCATTTACCGGTTAAAAATTTGGCACCTTTAAGTTTCAGTTTCTTTGAAGTTAATCGATCATCGGGTTTATCGCAGAGGAGTGAGTGTAACCATTGTAAAACATATATCTGTGTTAACCTATCAGAAGAGGCTCTGCACGACTCGCAGGGTCTTCAAAGGAACCTGCAATGACGTCCCCTTCACTAACGGCAAGTTGACTATGAATAGTTCGAAAAAAAGACAAAAGATTCCACTTTTCCATTTTGAAGTGTAGAGGATAAAAACATGACGATACGAAAATTGCCTATTTCCCTTTCTGATTTAATTTAATTTTCATGAATATTGCTTTTTTAAATCTTTCGTTCGCCGCCATTCCAACAAACTGGAGAGAAAAGTGGCAGACGGAAACTCGTCATTACCGCAAATAAAAAGTTAAGATAGACGATTTCGTTTTAGTATAATAGGACCTGCCCTTAGACATAGTAGACGGAGGAACACCTGCATAAAATACATTGATACGGCTGGGCAAACCACACAAACTGGGCCGGACCACGTGACCTGAATCACGGAGCGCATTGGCCGCGCAAAATAATGAGGCCTGGGTTTTAGGCAGCCTCATTACAGATGTTCGGCAATTTACAGATTACAGATCTTGACAATTCACCTTCGGAGCGTCAGCTTTCGCGTGTAGTGTCACTTGACTTGCTATGAAAACAAACCCCCAAAGATCGGACATTGGTTTCACAAACGTGTACTAACTTCGAGTCGCTATTCACCCATTTCCTTCTGGCTCGAAAGTGTTCAGGAATTCATAGCCCGGATTATGGGTGGGTGTGGGCCGGGTTCTTGTGCGTCTGGCGGGTCTGGGGGGAAGGAACCTGAACTTTTCAGTCTTCAGTCACTTTTGGGAATTGAATTTTTTAAGGTGGGAATAAAAAGAAGTTCGAATTCATCGGCTGGATCTCAGGGACTGGAACCTTCACGAGCGCATCATGTCAGGAGCTCTGGCGAATAAAATTAACGACTTTCGCACTCTGTTCCCGCTCTGTGATAAAACGTTTTCTGATTGGCTTATCACATCACTAGCCCCAACCTTCGCTCTGCATCCGCCATTACATCCAAAATGGCGTGTAAAATCTATTCTTCATAGCATGAATGAGCTCGTTTTCAGTGCCTGAAATGCCTGTTCGTTAAAAATATCAAGAGATATACCCAATCAAATGAATTTTTGGACAATTAATAGATCTCGAAACAGATAAACCATGCAAAGGAGACCTCGAAATCCAGGATTTGGGCGAGGTGTTGCTCAAGAAAAAGAAGGCGGTGTTTCAGATGCCCTGTTGCGCCAGGCTCGAAAGTCAGGCCAGCTGAATCTTTCCAACCGCGGTCTTACAGAAGTGCCAGACAAGGTATGGAGAGTCAACTTGGATGTTCCGCCTGAAGCAAGGAACGTTTCACTTGATTGTGCTGACGGTGATAAATGGTGGGAGATAGTGGATCTCACCAAACTAATACTGGCTTCAAACAAGTTGACGGAGATTTCATCAGAGATTGTACAGTTTTCTGCTCTGACAGTCTTGGATGTAAGTAGATACAATACGTGTCCCTCTTTTCCATGCATAAAGCACCAGCACAGATTTTAAGTCTGACAAAATCGAGCGTAGAAGTTGGAAGTCGAACCATGTTTAGATCCCTCATAATAATAACCTGTGTACAGTAACCCCTCCCCCTTCCTCTATTTCGAGATAAATTATACAAGAGACACCAGTGCAGAGGAAGGATGAGAACTGCGGTGTGTTGGAGCAATGCAAACGAAACAACAAGTTTCATTATGAAAATGAATAAACAAAAACAAGACTTTTCTCGACATGCAAACCCTCGACTTCGCCTCAGGTTTGCATGTAACTGTCTTGAATTCTCCCAACCCCTCTCGTGTTGATATCAGGTTATGCAAACACTGAAAACATTTTCTATTGCTCAAATGTAAATTATATAAAAAAAGCTATTCAAGTCAAACAATTATTGTTTGATTTGAATTGTTTTTTCTCGGTGAGCAAGGGCCCACCTTTTCCAAAATTTTATTACTTGTAACTTTTCCTTTACTAGGTCCATGACAACAGTTTGACCATGTTACCTGGTGAGATTGGGCAGCTTGTGAATCTTAAAAGACTGAATTTGAGGTATGTGTTCTACTTCCATGTACAGTTTCATTGATGTTGTAGCAGTAAATAAAATTAATTAGCCCACTTATTAATGAATCAGTACTCCACGATCAGGCGCGTAGCTGGGGTTTGAGAAGGGGTGTTTGTACTGATACGAATATTTCTTAACAGCGGGAAATACTGTGAGCACCAAAGGTGCGAGCCTCTAGGGGTTTCTTGGAGCAACTTGCTCCCCCAGAAAATGTTGAAATCTAGAAACCTGGAAATGCTATTTTCAGTAGTCTTCTCGTGAATATTTCAAACTCGATCAAGTGTAAAATAACAGGTATTTTTAGTCTTAACAACAATATTTCCGTTTGACTTGGAACATTCATACATAGTGATACATACCGGCTAAGGACACGAAACAAAACTCGACGTGTGCTGCAAGGTATCTTGGAGCAAAAGCTTAAGCCCCCCAGTTCCCCGGCTCCCGCTGTCTTTGTACTGAAAGCAGCATGAAACGTCAATATGTATTAAACAAGTATCACCTAGGTCCCCCAAAATTGTATTCCCCACCTTTCGTCTTTTGAGACTCCATTTGTCAAACCCGGAACGCATGTTAAGGAAATATCTTCAATGGTGGGATTATTTTGACTACATATAATACAAGGTCACCAGGATATACTGGGGCCACAACATGGGCTACTTGATTATCAACTCACTACAGGACTATCAGGACTATCCTCCATCAATGACCTGCAAAGGGGGTTTGTTCAAACTCCTCAAACCCCCCCCCCCCCCTCCTATGTGCATGACGATTCACCATAGTACTCTTACTCCTCGCTAATGAAAATAATTTTCAAATGCCAACATTTTGAGACAAGCCTTATTCAAAACTTGGCAAGTGTGCAGTTGAATCATTCTCCAAACCTACTTAACTACACTTAAATAGATAGTAACAGCAGGGTTCATCCTAGAGTGTGGCAATTGTGGGATTTTTTTTCTCATTTGAATAATAATGCTGACAAAAATTTTTCTGCCATGTGCGACATTTGTATTTTAAAACCAGTCAAACCGCTCTTCTGGAGTACAAAATACAGTGAGGTATTTGTACTTGTTTTCGGTGTTATTTGTATTCTACTGAGTATAGTTGAATAATAAAATTAATAACTTATAGATCAAGTACGAAACCCAAAAAGGTCGGCTAAATCAAAGCCATTACAAAGTCGTTTGAGAGTTAAAATACCAGGGCAAGCAAGGGGGGGGGGGAATGTGTGGAGGGCAAGGAGTGTCGAATCATAATGTCAGTTCCCTTATTCTCCATCCTCTCAACCCTAATTCTTTGGTAAGTCATAATTCTGCAATAGTAGGTACAGATATACTTATATATATATATTTTTGATGGTTTTTGCCTCTTTTTTCAGCCATAATAAGCTATCCTCTCTTCCAAGTTCACTGGGATGCCTTGGCAGTCTGTCATCCTTAAAAATGGATCATAACAATCTTACAAGCCTGGAAATTGAGTTGGGAAAGATGGTTCAGTTAGAAGAAATGGTGGGTTATCATTCTTCTTCAGTATCAAAGTTGGTATTCTCTTACTGAATTAATGACTACATTGTTATAGGAAATTAATGCTTCATGAAATTAAGGTATTGGAAATTAAGTTGACGTAAATTAACACAAAGTTAATTTAAAAGGACTTTTGAATGAAGGAAATTAACCCGAAAGAGAGGGTAACATTTCAAAAAGAAGGAAATTAATGCGCGTTCAAAAAGAAACAAAAGTTGTTGACACAAAAGGAAAATAGTTAAATGTATTGCATTGTAGTTCAATGTACTTTCCCTAAATGTACAAAGAAATCTGCAAGGGAAGAGATCTGACACTGGCAGATGTACACCATCATTAGATAGTCCTCTTTCTAGGTTGTCAAGAATGTCAAAAGTGTATCGAGAATTTGGGGCCAAAATACATGTAGTGGAAACTAAGGTTGTGGAAATTAACGCTCCACTTAATTTATGCCACAGTAATTAACGTTCTTTACAGAAATTAACGTTTCATGACTTAAATTAGCGTTAATTACCTATGATAAGGTAGCCCATTTAATATGGTACTTCACATCCCACATCAAACTGGATGTGAATTACACTTTATCTCACACTTGCTCTAGCTATTGTAGTAAATGGACTGGTGCTTTTCCTAAATATGCACAGCTGTAATTTTAAATTTCACTCTAACAATTGGCTAAAAGATAAAACTTGGTTCAGTCTCCAGCCCACTAGTGCCTCTGTGGTTCTCTCCCTACCATATGAATGAGTGCAGAGATTGTTGGGTTGGACCATTATTTCAACTGAACAGTCAGACTGAGCCTGTCATGATACATGTATGCAGAGCAAATTCTTATGGAAAATTAGGTCACCAAAATATCATGTTACAAATTGAAATTTTCATTTTCTGACATACTTATTGTAATGATCTTGATGCCATGGGTTGCAGAGTAACTTTCATTAATTTAATTTTATTATTGATTTTTATTTTATATCAACTAAATAAAAATTTTGATTGATAACTTGAGTATAGTTTGTTGTTTTAGAGAGTAAGAAGGTTCTTTTCTAATGTGATGAGAAGTAAGAGGATTACGTCCCAAAACGTGAACTGGCAAAGGCTGTACATTCTCGCAGCAATCAAGTATCAAGAGTAACCTGCGAAAACATCCATTTCTCCTTGCTCTTCGCTGCTGGGGACGTTTTGCGCGGAGGAACGTCTGTGACTCAACGACAGAAATTCCATACTGATGATGTAAAATCTGTCCGAAATCCGGTCAGAAGCGCTTATTGGTCGACGGAGTAGTTACATTGTTTCAGCTATTGTTTACGACAGTCTTGACAGACAAAAGACAAAAGGTCACAGAGGTCAAATGTTAATGTGAAGAATCTGTAACAAAAACAGTCAATATTTGTAGAATATAGTCTTCTCTAGAAGAAGTATTTGAATTTTGCTGGAGCTCTTTGGCAGATGAACACAACACTTTACCAAAATTTACCAGAAGACACACAAAATTGTTATATAAAGTTATATTTGGAACCCCATGACTACCGGATTTTTTATGTAAACATTGATTTGCGTCATCAGTATGGAATTTCTGTCACTGAGTTGCAGACATTCCTCCACGCAAAATGTCCCCAGCTATGAAGAGCGAGGAGAAACGGATGTTTTCGCGGACTACTATCAAGAGTAGAAAGCCTTATTACTCAAAGGGTTATAACAAAGGCTGTTCCAGTTTGAGGAGTCAAGCCTCAATTCAGGAATCAAGTCTCGATTCTCCACTTGATTCTCAATCTTGATTCTCGAGAGGATTGGGAATCGAGTGTCAATTTACTTTTGAATGGTACTGTGTGCATTATTATAATTTTAGAGTATAAAATATCGCACATTGAATACAGAGACGCTATTTTGACGTTACTTCTGAACTTTAGGATTTATCTCACAATTCTCTGAGAAGTCTGCCACTATCCCTTGGTAACTGTCACAGTCTTCGACATTTGAACTTGTCTCAGAATAGCTTGGAGTGCCTTCCTCCTGAGATAGGTCATCTGCGTGGTGAGTAAAGTGACATACAGCTGTAAATCTTAAAGTACAATGTTTTGATTCAATGGTATTCTATACATGTATGTGAGTTTGTGAAGAGATTTTTGGGAATAATATACGTAAGCAATTACAGACTATGAGCGGTCTCTCTTTTTTCTTAGTCTGTCAAGCGAAATGTGCGAGACATGTAAATGATCACGCGCATGACTGAACGCTTGAGACCAGAGACCTCTCAACGCCTGCATGCACATGCACTCCCCTCACTAAATCTGAAGTAAAAGAGAGACTACTTGCAGTCTAAAGGAATTTTTTTATTCCAGAACATACTTATTATTGTAAACAATATAATATTACTGAATAACTGCAACTTTAGAGATTAGACCAAATTTAAAATGTCAGTTAGCCTGAAGGAAAAGGTTTTGATTGTTAGGTAAAAAAAAAAGTGGTGGTGGAGAATTATACAAACTGTTTGCAATAATTTTATGACGAAAGATAATGTTTATGTTTTCTGTCAAATTACAAAAATTCCAATAAGTAATGTTTGTGTACAGTGTATTCGAGGAACTAACTGAACAATCAATAATAATAATAATGATAATAACAGTAATAATTGGAGCTTGCAATCCTAATCTCTAGGTTGTTATTTGCCATGCATCGCGTGTATGTAGCCAGCATTCCTTTTGGACTTCCACTAAGAATGAATAGAATGTACAGAATGCAGTTTGATCATGTGCGTTTAGACCCTTTATCACTCTTATTCTCATCATGGGTGTTTTGACCATCTGTCACATGAAACTTGCGCAAAGCTCGGCGATGGCAAGCATTTTGACTTTCGATTGTTGTCGCCTGCACTCCAGTAACCTTTAGTTATTACTAGTAATAATGGTTTTAATCCAGTGGAACCCATATTGGTATTTTATATTCATTAAATACACCCGCTTTTATCAAAGTTACATGTATGACCTGAACCAAGGTGTAGGTAGTCATTGAGTCATTTGTACACCTCAACTCAGGGCTGTGCTCTAGCAGAGCCCAGTGGCCCCTGGCGCCTAATTTTTGCCCTCGGGCGACTAGAAAGTCTCAGATTTTTCATATAAATCATATGCTGGGCACCCTAGATTTTACAGTTTCAGAGCAGTGGGCTTCCTTCAATTTTCCTTAGAGCATAGCCTTGCAACTGAGTTGCAGGTTCAGTTCGCTGGATGAGTTTTAAAACAGTACAGTTAACTTTGATCCAAACTCTTGCTTAGCTAGTGATAAATTAGTGTGGCCTCACAATGGCTTGCCAATGCCCATATAAATGTCCCACTCATGCCTTGTTTTCTTGTATTAATGTACAAGTACCAGGGGCATAGCCAGCTTTTCGACTAGTTGTAGGCCTGGCTGACTTTCATTTCCACGTATCCTGGAAATTGCACTCATGGCTGCTACGCACTGTCCTCACTAACACTTTGAGCTCTTAAGCTCATTTAGCTCACCCCAACAATGCATAATTTATTACAAGTGGTAGAGTGATCAACTAAAAAATTTGTAGGCCTGGGCCTACAGGTCACGGACTGACTACGCCCCTGAATACTGTTCCTCTTTTAAAATTGCAGCATTAAGAGATTTGAATCTGAGCAATAACAAGCTTTCTGAACTTCCTAAAGGTAAGTTGCAGAGAGCCACATTAGTTTAGCAATGTTTCACAGCATCATCTTATTGGTTAAGCTAAAGAACTTATTAAGGTTAAAGTGAGATTAGGCTTATTTGACCAAATCAAAGTTTCATTTACTGTCAAAACTACAAGTTTCCCTGATTGGAATGCTATCTAATTGTTTCGAAGTACAAATGCGTGAAAATTAAATAGACCCTTCTATTCCCACAGTTTTTTGTTTTCAATTTTCGATAAGGCCAAAGGCTTCGTCAACAGGAGGTTTGGGTACAAGATGAGTCTGTAGCAAGTGAAGAATGATATAGCTCCAGAAAGACACGACATTTTACAGATGTTTTTTTGGTGGGGGCACAAACTTGCAGAGCTACATTTACCTGTATATCTTCACTAGTTTTTAATACCATACTTCACTCTAAATCCGGGAACTTAACTGAGATTAGGGCGTTTTTCCAGCAGTGTTGACAGATTTTCCCAGACTGGTCCATGTCAACCTGTTGAAAAAACTATGCTAGGGTCTACTTAATTACTTTTTCTGAGAAAGATTTGTCATGCAAACAATTAGTTTGCGCCAAATGGTACTCATATTAGCTTATCCAAAAGAATTAATAATAGTTAGTTCCACAATAAAATAATTGCTCCTTCTGGAGAGTAAAACATGTCTTCTTTTTGGCAGACCTTGGAAACTTAAGCAATCTTGAAAGGCTGGATTGCCGTCATAATCAGCTTACCAGCGTACCTCTCCTGTCTTCCTGTCAATCACTGAAGGTGCGTGTAATCCTTACAGCTCTACCCTTCCCATGGTTCGCACAGGCCTTGAAAAGTCCTTGAAAATTGAAAAATTGTGGGATATCCTTGAAACGTCCTTGAATTTTCCACAGAAGTCCTTAAATATTTTTTAAAGCTCCTTGAATAAAAATAACCTTAATAGTTAAGAAAAAAAGTTTTACGCAAGGGAATGATTGAAAGCGCAGCAATACACAAATTTTCTTGTTGCTCATGAAAGTGTTTTCTTATGATTTCGGTGTTCCCGACGTAGTTCATTTTCCGTTATTTGAAGTAACCTAGGAACTGTGCCTTAATGAAGGAAGGTATTGCAATAAGCAAACCCTCCTCTACCCACGCATTTTAAAGGTCTCTACTTCATGTTATTGGGGAAAAGAAGTCCTTGAAAAAATGATTTAGTCCTTGAAAAGTCCTTGGAAAGTCGTTGATTTTTTCCCCAAAGAATTCTGTATGAAACATGCTTCCACACCTAAGAATACAGCCATTCAAAGTTTTAACGAACGTTCTCTTTAGCATGCGTAGCAGACGACTTTTTTTGGTGTGGTATTCGTTTGTGGTTCGTAAAGTAAGAGACAAAGCTGCGCGAAAGCTAAACAGAAGTCAAGCGAGAAAACGTATGTAAAACGCACCAAAAAAACGTTTCTATTTACGCAGGCTATTTCTATGTGGAAAATAATGAAAAAGAAATGGTACCACTCAAATGCAAAAACTCTGCCAAAGATATTTTATTTGAAATGTCACATATGGGGGGTTTTATCCAAAGACAAAAACTGAACTCCTTGTCGCCATAATATTTTATTGGCAGGAACTTTACCTCGGCAACAATAAGATAACAAACCTGAATAGGGAAAGTTTTGCTTCTATGACGTCTCTCTCGATATTTGGTATAAGAGACAACAAGATTAACAGGTAGGGAAATTTAAGTAGAAATTATGTACCACTTATTGTTTAAGGTTTTGTCCTTTGGTGTGACCCAGATGAGTAGGCACGTTTCTTGAGAGTCCCGGTAACTTTTCGGGTCCGACGCCGAGTATTAAAATCAAGATATAAAGAATAATAGCGCGGGCCCTAGCTAACAAGCCAGTCCTCTTTGTTTTGGTAACCGATCGCGTTATCATGCTATCTACATAACTAATGAAACCTCGATCTTAAATTACAGAGAGAGATACAGGGACTCTCAAGAAATCTGCCCTCTCATCCGGGTCATCCCAAAGGACAACACTCTTAGACAATAATACCATCAACTGACGTGATACAACTCACTTCTGAAGATGACTACCGGACAGGCTGTCGAAACGTCAATCACTGTCAACAACAAAAGTCCTATTCAGGACTTTTTTCACCCGGACGATCAAACTCAACCTACTTTTGAAATGACTCCTGGGTTCAAACCTTTCACAGAATACAAAACAGTTGCCAGGCCCGGTATTTACCGGAATTTCTGAGAAAAAGCCCTTGCAGGATCAGGGATCCGGCGGGGATAACTCGGATGACTAGCGGTGCATCAAAGGAAGCAATGAATCTTTGCCCCGAGTGGATTCATCGGTTCCACCAGTTGATACATCATGATCTGAGTGATCTCGGATCACTGATCCTGATTCGGATCCTCCCGAAGAAAAACTCTCTGAAAACTTTCTTCTTATATATGTACAGCTTCTGTAACTAAGGCCAATGTCCACAGTGAGCGGGATTGAAAACGCAACTTGATTCTACACTCATCTCTTTAAGCTATCCACCTCAAACGGATCTTTGTCCAAACGTTCTTCAAAGAATAAATTTGGTCAAATTGCCGGCATTGCGTTTTAGGGTGGACGGAAAACATTTTGAAAAAGGAATTTTTCAAAAAGGCTGACGCCAATATAAGGAACAGTGTGTATTCAGTTAGGGGACAGAAATGAGCTCTTGCTTCGTCCTGTGATTTCCTACTTCCATGCAATACGTTTTTCTTCAATTTTCCAGCATTCCAGATGAGACAACATTGTTAAAAAAGCGTGAAATACTTGATTATAAGTTTTTCTTCATTTTTTAGCATTCCAGATGAGATAACAGTGTTAAGAAAGCTTGAAAGACTTGATTTGGCAAACAATGATATATCTGGGTGAGTATGGTTGACTTAGTGAAATCAGATTCGGGCACAGAATTTGCAAGTAATGGAGTATGTATTAACACCCTATAAAAAGTCCAAGTTGAAATATCTTAATTGCTTTCCACTTCTTTATGAAGCACCGTCTCCCCGTTCCTTTTATTTCTCTGAGAGATACGTTCAGTTTGATAATAGAATTTGGCGTTTAGAACTACTAGTCTTTACATTCTGTGATGCAGATGGGGCGATGGGGAAGACCGTGTGGCAAACATAACGAATCGTTTTAAACAACATTTATCTTTTCATCATAAGAGAGCTTTAGATTCTGAGACGAGTACGACTACGACTACGCGATTTCTCAATACTAAGTAGTGCTCGCGCGTGTACCAGCGTCATTTTGGCGGGAAAAGGTGGTAGCCGTCGTCATTCTACTACGAGTTTTAGCGTGAGATGTCGCCGGAAGTGGCGAAAACAAGATATCAAATGTTAGAAGTTTTATCTATTGTGCGATCGGGAGAGCGCGTAACCTCCTTCACTAAAGATAACAATGCTAACTTTTCTAGTGAAAAATAGTAAAATGAAGCTTTCGGGAAAGTTTATATTTTGAGAATACGCGAAAAAACTTTAAGTTAAATCTCGTACTCGTAGTCATCCTCGTCCTCGAATCTAACCTGGTGAAATTTCCGACAACAAAATTTCAAACAAGATCCTATGTTTTACCCACGTCCCTTCTGACAAACCCATTTTCTCAAAAGGGCTCATTTGTAGCCATCCAATTCACAGTTACAACACTTGTTACGTACTGTAGCTAACACGGGTCTTGTTATGCTATAGAGAGCTTGCGCAGCAACGTTTTTGAGCGACGCACCTCAACCGGAAGTGAGCTTTAATCTCCTTTAATATGCCTTGATGCCACCAAATTTGTATTGGTAAATGTCTTTACTTATAAAGTCCACTTCCGGTAGACGTGCGTCGGTCAAAAACATCGCTGCTTAACCTCCCTAATAAGCAGTCCAGGCAACATTTTTTTGTACTTGGTTCATCTACCCTTTAGTACTCTGCTAAAATGTTTTAGTAATATAATTCATTGAACTTGGCAAAGGTGACCTCAATATTGTATACTTGTTAAAAATAAAGTAAAAATATTTCCAAAAGTACCGCCAAGGCTATAAAGTCAGCCCTGCATTTTAGCAATGGGGTAATTACAGTCAAGTCTCTCATAAGCGACCACTCTTGGTGCACAGCAAAGTGGTCGCGATCGCTTACGGGAGGTGGTCTCTTTGAGAGAGTTGACCGTATGTCGCTTTGTTTTTTCAGTCTTCCTTGCACTATGGGTACCATGGAGCATATCAAATCCTTAGTACTTGATGGAAATCCCTTAAGAAGCTTGCGGAGAGATGTTGTCATGGTAATGTTTACTTAAGGCATAAGACCTTTCCTAAAAAAAAAAGAACACTCGGTGATATGTCTTTTAGGAGACGTCTTCTGTAACTTCGTTCTTGTCGATCGATCCATCCGATACGTATGAATAAAAGGTGAAAACGAGGTAATGTTTTGCGTTTTCGGACAAACACGGATTCGTGTGCGCGATCGGACTAAAACAAACAACTATTAATTTTTTGAATTGAAGTGAAACCCCCAGTCCAATGTACTTCTTTTTAGCCAACTCTGTTTCCAGTTATTGCTGAACATGAATCTGTCTTTTTCTCTAGTCATTATTTTCTTCGGAAAGTAATCGAGAGTGCTTTTTGATGCAAATTTATATCTTTTGCTAGTTATGCACGTGTACATGAAACTTGAAAACAATGCCAGTGAATAATGAGGACGCTCACTTGTAAACACAAAATCTGGGGGGAAAATTGGTTGTATTTGAGGCCCTATTTAAAAGCCTTCCCTATTTTTAATGTTCTTGAAACTTACAGGGAATATTTCTTGACGATTGATCTCGGGGTTATCGAATTTATAAAAAAATTTATCGAGCGGTTTTTGGAAAAATGCGAAATTTTTAGGCATGGACCAAATTACGTCCAAAACTGCATCAAAAGTAGCTGAATGCAAGTTAATAAAATTCTTCTTACTCGCGACCTCCCAGAGCAATTCCCCTCTTTTTTTGTATGCAGTTTTCAATGGAATCAAATCACTATGAGATGAAGCCTCGTTCCCAAAGCTTATCATTTTCCTAAAATATTAGCGAATTGTGTGGCTAGCATGCTATTTCACTGTTTTTATTCTTCTCAAAACTACATTTCAAAATATTTCGAAAACGCTCTCATAGAATTTGTTCAAACTAAGCCATAATGGAGGCAATTATAGCAGGTACATACTCCCTTAAGCGATTTCTTCAAACACCTTTGCATCACTAGTTGCTAGCTCGAAAACCTTACGGTTATCTAGCCGCTAGGCATTTCCTTCTATGTAATAATATTTAGTTTAAATTGTAATTGAATATTCTACGTGTTAAGTTACTAATTATTCAATAAGTTTGACAAAGCCTGTAATGGAAATGTGAATAAAGTGTTGTTGTTGTTGCTGGAACAGAGAAACACAAAGATAAATAAAAAACGTAATGGCGTCATTACGTTGCCATGGCGGCTCCGATTGCAATAAAACCCAGATCATAACAAATTTTCATCTTTATATAATACAGTTGTGGTAACCTTTTTTCCATATCTTTACTCATGCCGACGTAGTTAATGCTCAAAGTTGGGAGGTATCAACCCCAAAAAATCCAGTCGAGCCACCTTAAATGCACCTCGAAAAGCTTAGCACGTATATCTCTATTAAAGAAGAATTAAGCCCTCCCCTGATCGCCGGCATAGTTTTAAAACTTGTAACATTCGATCGCATGTATTTTTGCCACTACGACATTGTCGCTAAAAACCGGAGTAGAATGAGGACGGCTATCACGTTTTCCCGTCAAAATAGCACTGGTTAACGCTTGTTTACTACTTCGTATCAGAGAGATTTAGAGTGATGTTTATGGCAAACGGCAAACGTTAGAGTTCACTGAAGTTCAGAACTTTTCAAAATAGAAAAAGGGCTGCGAAAAACAGTCCAAAACGATTCCTCTAGACAAATCCAACCTGAAGCTTCTAATTTCAGTAATTTGGAGGTAGACGTAATGGACGGTAAAGCACGAGTTAAGGGAAAACTTTTTCCCGTGGTACAAACTTATACGTTTGCTGTTTGCCGTAAAGGTGTTATCTAAATCTCCCTAATAGGAAGAACATTGGCCCTTGAAGTCGTCCTCGTATTTAATAATAGGCTGAATTAGCAACAGAAGTGGAACATCAGTTGACGACTGCACGCGCAAATCAAACAACTGGCTTGACCAATGGCAGAGCGGCAAATTGGGCACCGGAAGTCACGTTTAGTCCTTTCCGCGCGCTTTCCCGTCGTCAACTGACGTTCCCGTTCTGTTGCTAAATCTGCCTAGAAATCTAACGGCCTCTATATATTTTTTTCTTTCTTTTTTTTCTTTATCCTCTATAGAGGGGGACTCAGGCCATTTTAAAACACCTCAGGAGCCGAATACCAGGTTAGTTTCTAGACCTGCTTCACTCACGAACGACAAGAAGCAAGCACAACGATTTCAACATAGAATTTAAGCTTATCGAAATTTCATCATAGGACAGTAGAGTAAACAATGTTTTGTTTTGGAGTGCTCCTTAGACATAGGCTTTCCTTGTAGCAGTGAATTATGAAAGCGAGCCTAAAAGTGGAAAATAATTTTGCTTATAAATTCCAGAATCAACCGAGTCAGAAGTCATTACTGCCTTGTGGTGCCCTAGGTTGAAATTATGCCGAAATAAAATTACACTATTTAACTGGAATTAATTCTAAAAAGGCTTGTTGACTCGAAAAGCCAAGTGTAGCTATTCAAGAAGACAACATTTTCTTGAACGAAGTACTATAGTTTCTATTGAGTGGAAATTTTCTAAACCCAAAAAGGGGCACTTGGTGGGAAGAGAATTGGTGACGTCACACAACCTAAGTCTGTGGAATTATGGGTTTGGTTAGCATTTTCAGAAAGAAAAAGATGATTAACGACCCCCCTCCCTTCCAAAAATCAACATGTAAGTGGAAATTGGCGTGGTAATATAAGCAACGTTATGCTCGAATGACTCCATATAAATCCTTCTAAAATAGGCCGGGATCGTATGAATGGAATTATCTGAGTAAAACGGTGCTTATATCTCCACAACAATTGGCACTAACAGGCTGAATTTCAGCAAGGGGGTAGCCTGAGAAAACAGATGGCATTTAGCGACGCCACCGGTGGTATCCCCGCGAAATAGTCTGAAAAATGTAGTGAGGCGACGTAAGTATAAAAATTTCTTCGCTCATTTCTCACACGTTATTTCGCGGACAAACCAACGGTGGCGTCGCGAAATGTCGTCCGTTTTCTCACGGAAGCAAGCGGGATTTTTCTGAATATTATGTTACCCAATCCAATGGGTAACAAGGGTAACAAGGGGAACACAACGGAACTCAGAGCAACAAAAGGTAACAAGGATAACAAAGGGTAACAAGGCCAACAAGGGTACCCTTGTTACCCTTTGTTACCCTTGTTACCCTTGTCACCCTTTGTTACCCTTGTTACCCTTTGTTACCCTGTCGGAAACTCGATAATAGCATAGGGTTTTAATGTTTATTTTGTCACGAGCTGCCAATCTTTGAAGGCGTTTATTTTTATCTGAATGGCAAAGATCACGTTATTTCACGTGTTATTGTGAAATAGAGTACGTTTGTTATCTTTCTGTCAGCAATATCGTTTTAGCCAATCAGCTCATGTTTATTCAAGGTGTGCCATAGATTAGGGATCGCTCGATTGATGCCAGTGAGAGGTGGATTATTTTTGTAGGAGAAAAGAAAAAACTGTGATTAAAAAACCTGAAAGTGAAGACTGAGGACGTTGTGGGCCTTCTTAACCTATTCCCCACACAAGTGGCACCTCCGACGGGACAATCAAGAATCTAAACTGTGACTAAAATGGAGGAAAAGCAAAAGGAACTCGAGACAGAATTGCAACTACTAGCACTTACTCGCTCCAAGACTGCTGCAATCGTGGACAAGGGCAACCTCGACAAAATCCTTCGTCACAAGAAAATTTTGAAGAAAATCGTGAATGCCATCGAAGATCTCAAGGTAGACGTCGAAAAAGCCAAGCTTGAGGCTGGAGAAATCGTCGAGAATGTGCAGAAATGGGGAGCAACAATAGAACAACGCACCGACGAAGCAGATTTGGAGATATCTGATTTAACTCGCAGTCTTGAAGAAGCTGCGACGAGAGCAGAGGACTACAAGCGTGAGAAGGAGAAAACTTTGCTCGATCGGCAACGAGAGGAAGAACTAGAATTTGAAAAAGTAAAACTTGAGCAAAAGGCGAAAATTCAACAAACAGAGCAAGCCGCCGCAAAGCCAGCCAGCAAAAGCAACGTGAAAATGCCAAAACTAATCATCACAAAATACGACGGCACCTATGAGAAGTGGCTCTCGTTTTGGAACAAGTTTGAAGCTGAAATTGACTCATCTGATCTGCCGGCGGTCACAAAATTCGCTCATCTGAAAGAATTGCTGGAAAGTAATGTTTGCGAATCAATCGACGGCCTTCCCTTTACTTCTGAAGGCTACCAGCGCGCTAAGAATATTCTGACTTCAAATTACGGCAAGATAAGCGAGATTGTAAGGGCATACATCGACAACTTGAATGCCTTGCCAGTGATAACAGGATCACAGCCAAGCAAAATCCATAAATTTTGCCAGACTTTGAACTACAATGTTCAATCTCTTGAGACGCTGGGTAAACTTTCGTCTTGTCTTTCTATGGTGCGTGGTGTGCTTGATAAGCTGCCGGGAATCAAAGCCGAACCCGTGAGTGGAAAAGTAGGATGGCAAGACTGGGGATTCACGGAACTAATACGAGCTCTAGAAGAATGGAAGGCAATTCATCCACTGGAATTAGCTGAGAAAGCTAGCGGAAAACCTCAAGCCCCGCCACCGCCTCGTCCGCCTCGCCACAGAAGTTTCTACGCGCAAGAACGCGAACCAGCCCGCGCGCGACACGCGTGTGTTTATTGTGATTGCGTGACGCACAGATCTTGGGAGTGCGATAAAATCACGTCGCCTGCCGAACGCCGTCAAATTTTGCAGAATAAACGGTTGTGTTTTAACTGCACTGGGCCCAAGCACAGCGCAAACAACTGCTCTAGTAGAGCTTCCTGTGTACACTGCAAGCAAAAGCACCACTCGTCTATCTGTGACAGACAAGTAAGAGCAAGTCAGCCTAGAAATAATGCTGGAGTCGCATTGACAGCAACACAAGACGGGGAGAAGGTTTGCCATCCTATAGTTCTTGTCAAAGTAAATGGCGTAACCTGTAGAGCGCTACTGGATACCGGCGCAACCGTTTCTTACGCCTCTGGATACCTCTTAGATAGGCTGAAGCTGAGACCAACACGCACGCACACACGCCGTATTCAAACCATCGTGGGAGTGGTTACAAAGCGAAGCGAGATCTTCAACGTCCAAGCGAGCGACACGGAAGAAAAGTATGCCATTCCACTGAGCGTGACGAGAATTGACCGTGCCGAATTGCTGTCTGTTGAAAACCCAAATTATGCGGTAATGATAAGCAAGTACCCACATCTGAAGGGAGTGTACATGGAGGACACAGACTTGAAGAAGATGCTTCCTGTCCATGTTATTCTTGGAGCGAGTGATTATGCGCGAATAAAGACCCGCGAATCCCAGCGAACTGGAGCTATGGGTGAACCAGTGGCCGAATATACTCGCTTTGGGTGGACCATCATGTCACCAGGGACGGAGACAGACCTAGACAGCATGTTCCTAGCGCAAACGGCCTCAAACGATTATGAAGAGCTGTATAGAATGGACGTCCTTGGGCTTGAAGACGCACCTAGTGGTGACCAAAGCGTTGTCTACGCAGAGTTTCGTGAACAGCTTAGACGCAGTCCTGATGGGTGGTACGAAGCACGCCTTCCTTGGAAAGGAGACCACCCTCCCCTACCTTCGAATGAATCTGGGAGCTTGAAACGCCTGGGAAGTCTAGTACAACGTCTAAAGAAAACAGGTCATCTGGACGAATACGATGCGATAATCCAGGACCAACTGCGCGAAGGAATTGTGGAAGAGGCAGACATGCCAGCCAGTGGGAAAGAATTTTACATACCCCACAAAGCTGTGGTGAGAGAGAATGTAGAGTCGACCAAGATGCGGGTAGTCTACGATGCCTCAGCCAAAGCCCATAGCTCCGCGCCCTCACTAAATGACTGCTTGGAGGTTGGACCGCCGCTCCAAAATAAACTTTGGAAGGTTCTAGTGCGGGGAAGATTCCATCCTGTGGCTCTCGCTGGTGATATCCGCAAAGCCTTTCTCCAAGTGAGAATTCATGTACAAGACCGAGATGCTCTTCGGTTCCATTGGACAGTGTCTGAGTGGTTCTCTAGAAATCTCCTGACACTAAATATATCCAAATGTAATTTTGTTATCTTTGGAAGTCCTCAGAAACTGAATCGTATTCAAGGCATTTCGGTTAAAGTAGAGGGCACTAGCATTGAAAGAACACAATCATTCAAATACCTAGGCGTAACGCTTCAACAGTCTATGTCCTGGGCAGATCACGTCGATGCTATCAGCATGAAGATTAATCAGAGAATAGGCCTAATTAGGAGAATCAGGAATCTATTGCCGCTACAAGCTAGAGTTGCCTTGTACAATGCCCTAATCCTCCCTCTTTTTGATTACGGAGACGTTATATGGGGGGACAAAAACAATGACACCATCATGTCAGAATTACAGATTCTACAGAATAAAGCTGCTAAAGTTATGCTGGGGCAACCACCCCGAAGCTCGTCAACTGAAGCACTGAAGAGTCTAGATTTGAAGTCACTGTCCACAAGAAGGTTTTTTCATCGCTGCATTGCAATCCACAAGTGTCTTATTGGAGAAACCGATTTCAGCTTTAATTTTACTAAAAGTCAAGCTGTTCATTCATATAATACAAGACGCTCTAATGATATTCGCTTACCCCTACCCAGAACAAACTGGGGTAAACAAACTTTTATTTGTCACGCCGCGAAAGACTGGAACAGCCTTCCAAATGATTTAAAAGAGTGTAATATTTTATCTATTTTTAAATCCAAGTTAAAAACTTTTTTAAAAGATCTCAGCTAATTTTAAACCTTGATGTTTTTTTTGTATAATCGATTTTAAGATTTTAAATTTTTAAATTTGTTTTACTTGTAAACATATTTTACTTTTTTCGTAATTATTAATTAATTAGTTAGATTAATGCATGAGGGCCCCACTGAAAACCGCCTTGGCGAGTTGGGCTCCCTCTATAAATATATTATTATTATTATTGGTTAGAAGCTAAAGATCCACAGCGAATTCGGACTTACAGATTCACTAGAGCACTCTTTGGCTTGGGACCCTCGCCTTTCCTGCTAGGAGGTGTGATCCAACAGCATCTGAACACTTGCCGAGATGAACATCCCAAGTGCGTGGAAGAGATTGAGCGTGAGCTATATGTGGATGACATATTATCTGGTGGATCTACTACCGAAGAAGTGAAACAGAAGAAAGCCACAACAACTGAGATATTTGCCCAAGCTACTTTCCATTTGCACAAGTGGCACTCGAACGTGAAAGAGCTGGAACTGGATGACGTACCCGAAGACAATGCGAAAGAACTGGAGCCGGTTACAGTGAATGAGCACGAAGACGACTTAAGCTACGCGAAGCAACAGCTGGGCGTTCAATCTAGACAATGTGGACTCCTGGGATTGAAGTGGAACAAGTTATCTGACGAAATTGGGGTCCCTTTTCCCGCGAACGTTGCTCAACCGACGAAAAGAGGGATCCTGGGAAAAGTGGCTAAGATCTATGACCCCTTAGGATTAGCCGCACCTACCACTCTACAAGGAAAGCTGCTATATCGTGAGGCTTGTGAAGAGAAATGCGCATGGGACGCGCCGCTATCTGCAGAGCTAGTTCAGCAGTGGAAGAAGTGGGAGAGTTGTTTACCTCAGCAAATTAACTGCCCAAGAGCACTGACGAGTGCTCAACAGCCTATCGAGAACATCGAGCTTCATGCCTTTGGAGACGCTAGCGGAAAGGGCGTCGCGGCTGCCGTGTACGCCGTCGTCAAACAGCCGACTTCAGTAAACCAGGGCCTCGTCACAGCAAAGGCAAGACTGGCGAAGCAAGGGTTGACAATACCTCGCCGCGAACTAGTCTCGGGTCACATGGCCGTGAATCTTCTAAGCAACGTACAAGATGCGCTACAAGGTTTTCCTGTATCCTCCCTACACTGTTGGCTCGATAGCAGCGTCGCACTACACTGGATACGCGGAAATGGAGACTTCAAGCAATTCGTGGCAAATCGTGTCCGAAAGATTAGAGAGCATGGTGACATTACGTGGAGACACGTACCAACTAAGGATAATCCTGCCGACCTTGCTAGCCGCGGTGGACCGGTCACAGAAGAGAAACAACTGTGGTGGAAGGGACCAGCATGGCTCAGTGATCCTAGAGCATGGCCCCCAGACCTTGTTACCGTACCTACCGCAGAATCCAACGCAGAAGCCAAAGTGATAAAAGAAGTCTTAGCCACAGCCCTATCATCAGAAGACGAGTTCAGTGTGCTGATGGAGCAACACAGTCTGTTAAAGGCCTTGCGCGTGTGCGCATGGGTGTCCAGGTTCCTAACTAATTCCAGAAACCCGAAGCCAAGAAGAGTGAAAGGACCGCTGACCACCGATGAAATGAAGTACCAGGAAACCTGGTGGACCAGACGAGCTCAAGAGGAAGGCAGAAGTTCGAAGAATTTCGAGGCAGACAAGTTACAGCTTAACTTGCAACCAGACAACAACGGAATACTGGAGTGTAGAGGACGAATCGTCGGTGCATACCCTATCTACCTTCCTGATGGTAATGCATTCACACACAAGCTTGTTCAACGAGCGCATCTAGCGACCCTTCACGGGGGAGTTACACTCACAATGACCAAAGTTCGGGAGACTCACTGGATCCCTCGCCTGAGAAAACTTACCAAGGTCATTAAAAGCTGTTGGGGTTGCAAGAGATTTCGAGCTCAAGCCTACCAGTCCCCACCGCCAGGCAATCTACCAACGACCAGAACCCAAGGAGTGACACCCTACGAAACCATCGGTGTTGACTTTGCTGGGCCCATAAAGTATCAGGTGACAAAGAAGATGGAAGGTAAGGCCTACCTAGCCTTGTACGCCTGCGGTCTTACCAGAGGGGTGTACCTCGATCTACTTCCGAGCTTAGAAACAAGCAAGTTCCTCGCAAGTCTGAAAGGGTTTATAGCCAGGCGTGGACGCCCTCGCGTAATCTACTCAGATAACGGAAGCACGTTTAAAGCAGCAGCGGATTGGGTGAGGAAAGCCATGAAAGATGAGAAGTTTCACACCTGCCTTTCAAAGCTGGATATAGTCTGGAGATTCAACCTTAGCCGAGCTCCCTGGTGGGGTGGCCAGTTTGAGAGGCTGATAGGCGTGTTCAAGTCTGCCTTCCGAAAAGCAGTAGGGAACGGAACCTTATCCTGGGGCGAATTATCGGACGTTGTGCTTGACGTTGAAATTGCCATGAACGGACGTCCCCTGAGTTATTTGGAAGAGGACGTCGAATTGCCAGTACTCACTCCAAGCTCCATGTTGCACCTTCGGCCGAGCCAACTCCCAGAGCTAAATGCCTACCACATCGAGGAACCAGATCTAAGGAAAAGAGCCAAGTATCTCTATCGGTGCAAAGAAGCGATGTGGTCCAGGTGGACAAAAGAATACGTGAGAAGCCTACGTGAGCGGCACAGCAGGAGCGGAGGGAAACAGACCTCCCACCCCTCAGTGGGGGAAGTGGTGATAATTCAGGACGAGTCTCGGAACCGTAACTCATGGAAGCTAGGGATCGTGGAAAGGCTGATCGTGGGACGTGACGGAATCGTACGTGGAGCTAAGTTACGAGCTGGGAAAGGAGTCTTGGAACGAGCAGTGCAACAGCTGTACCCTCTCGAGCTGTCCTGCGACAGAACAGATGCAAGGTTGAATCCTGAGGCCGAACCCTATCGGCCAAGGCGGGATGCGGCAGTCGCAGCAAGACACCGTATTGCGGATGCTGCTCAGGAAGCAGAGCCGTGAGAACTGTGAAACCAGAACTTCCTCAGGACGAGCAATCAAAAAAAAAAAAAACTTTCAGAACATTAAGGATGTGTCCATTAACCTTTTTGTTATGATTTCAAGTGATTAAGCCTAGTAACACTCAAAGAACGCTGAACTGTGAGTCAACGTGAACACTGTGGACAACGGAATCATTGAACTATGTGATTTGTTCTTTAAGACTTTTCTTCGTTTTCAAATTGTTTAGCGTACTTAGGTTGAAGCAGTTTCCTTTGCTTACATGTACTTCCTTGTCGAAAGCACATGGGGGAGTGTGTCGGAAACTCGATAATAGCATAGGGTTTTAATGTTTATTTTGTCACGAGCTGCCAATCTTTGAAGGCGTTTATTTTTATCTGAATGGCAAAGATCACGTTATTTCACGTGTTATTGTGAAATAGAGTACGTTTGTTATCTTTCTGTCAGCAATATCGTTTTAGCCAATCAGCTCATGTTTATTCAAGGTGTGCCATAGATTAGGGATCGCTCGATTGATGCCAGTGAGAGGTGGATTATTTTTGTAGGAGAAAAGAAAAAACTGTGATTAAAAAAACCTGAAAGTGAAGACTGAGGACGTTGTGGGCCTTCTTAACCTATTCCCCACAACCCTTGTTACCCTTTGTCACCCTTGTTACCCCTTGTTACCCTTGTTACCCTTGTTACTCTTGTTACCCTTTATTACCCTTGTTATCCCTTGTTACCCTTGTTACCCTTTGTTACCCTTGTTACCCCTTGTTACCCTTGTTACCCTTTGTTACCCTTGTTACCCCCCTTGTTACACTTGTTACCCTTTGTTACCCTTGTTACCCTTTGTTACCCTTGTTACCCCTTGTTACCCTTGTTACCCTTTGTTACCCTTGTTACCCCTTGTTACCCTTGTTACCCTTGTTACCCTTTTTTACCCTTTGTTACCCTTGTTACCCCTTGTTACCCTTGTTACCCTTTGTTACCCTTGTTACCCTTTGTTACCCTTGTTACCCTTTGTTACCCTTGTTACCCTCGTTAGCCTTGTTACCCTTTGTTACCCTTGTTACCCTTGTTACCCTTTTTACCCCTTGTTACCCCTTGTTACCCTTGTTACCACTTGTTACCCTTGTTACCCCTTGTTACCCTTGTTACCCCTTGTTACCCTTGTTACCCTTTGTTGCCCTTGTTACCCCTTGTTACCCTTGTTACCCTTTGTTACCCTTGTTACCCCTTGTTACCCTTGTTACCCTTTGTTACCCTTGTTACCCTTGTTACCCTTTGTTACCCTTTGTTACCACGTGTTCACCATAGGTCTACTTTGATTTCCTTTGTTACCCTTGTTACCCTTGTTACCTTTTGTTACCCTTGTTACCCTGGTTACCGTTTGTTTCCCTTGTTACCCTTTGTTATTTTTGTTACCCCTTGTTACCCTTGTTACCGTTTGTTACCGTTCGTTACCCTTGTTACCCTTGTTACCGTTTGTTACCCTTGTTACCGTTTGTTACCCTTGTTACCCTTGTTACCCTTTTTCCTTTTGTTACGTTTGTGACCCTTTGTTAGCTTTGTTACCCTTTTTACCTTTTGTTACCCTTGTTACCCTTTGTTACCCTTCTAACCCTTTGTTACCCTTGTCACCCCTCTAAACCTTTGTTACGGTTATTATCCTTTGTTACCCTTGTTATTCTTTGTTACCCTTTGTTACGCTTTTTTACCGTTGTTACCGTTGGTTACCATTGCTACCCTTGTTACCGTTTTTGCCCTTTTTACTTTTTTTTTACCTTTGTTAGCGTTGTTACCCTTGGGGTAACAAGGATAACTAGGGTAACACAGGGTAACAAGGGTAACAGATGTAACAAGAGTATGAAAGGGTTTCAATGGTAACAAGGGTAACAATGTTAACAAACAGTAACAAGGGTAACAAAGTGTAAGAAGGGTAACAAAGGGTAACAAAGGTTTTAAAGTGTAACAAGGGGTAGGAAGGGTAACAAGGGTAAGAAGGGTATGAAAGTGTAACAATGGTAACAAAGGGTAAGAAGGGTAAGAAGGTTAATAAGGGGTAGCAATAATATGAAGGGTAACAAGGGTATCAAATTGTAACAATGGTAACAATGGGTAACCTCGTTAACAAGGGTATCAAAGGGTAACAACGGGAAGAAAGGGTAACAAGGGTAACAAAGGGTAACAAGAGTAACAAGGGTAGCAAAGGGTAACAAGGGTAACAAGGGTAACAAGGGTAACAAAGGTTCACAAGGGTAACAAGATTAACAAGGGTAAGAGAGGGTAACAGAGGTTAACAAGGGTAACAAGGGGTAACAAGGGTAACAAAAGGTATCAAGAGTAACAAGGGGTAACATGGGTAACAAAGGGTAACAAAGGGTAACAAGGGTAACAAAGGTTAGCAATGGTAAGAAGGGTAACTTGGTTCAAGTTTTTGTGACGTCAACGCTTCTCTTCGTTATTTTTATAGAGGAAGAAAAGCCGGATGCGACGGATGCCCCAGTCACTTCATTACCTGTCAGTTCACCTTTACCAACTGCTTCCAGTGGATTGGACGTTCACACTATCACAAGCACAAAGACCATTAACTACAGGTTGGTAAATTTTTTAGCCTGGTCTCCATTGCAGCCATCCTTTGTCATGGCGACGACCACCGTCGCAAATCGCCGTGATGGATAGAGGATATTATACGGCGGCGCCAAGATATTAATCTTATTTTCGAGCGGTTTCGCTCGTTTGTAAAATATTGCTTTTCACCGCAAGGAAATAAAATTTATTTCTTCAAGCCACCGGGTGATTTTCTTTAAAAAAAAGTTACAGAGACAAAAAGACTGGACAAACTTTATCGCGAACTGCTGTAGTTCGGCGGCAGGAATTTCTTGAAGTTCTCTCCTTTTGTCCCCACTTGTAAGTAACTTCTTGAATAATTTTTGAGTCATTTAAAGTTGTCTTCTTCGTATTAACATTTTCGTGCTCCTCAGAGAAAGTTTTTATGTCAGCTTCAGATAACTGCACGAATCTATCACTCGCCATTTTTATCTTGGCATTTGGCAAACTGTGCACAAACAGCAGTTTGAGCGGGAAATGACGTCATTGATATGATCACTAATGAGGATATGGGAAATACGCTACTCAAGTCCCGGATGTAGTTTCGTATGAACTTTACGAGTGGTCTATTTTCCACTGAAATACTCTTGTCTATGTAATAAACGGCGACATTTCATTAGTTCTTTTCACCTTTAATAGCAGCCAAAGACAATATTTCCCAATAATCATGATGTTTTCAAAATCCTGATAAAAAAAGAGTGGTAAGCAAAAGTTCTGCAAAATACGTTTCGTTTGAATAGTAACACCAGACCATGGGATTTCGTTCCGGATTCCAAGTTAGAAAATTATATACATTTATTAACACACGAAACACGCAGGAGCTCTTGACTTGTTATGAGTTCAGCTTACATTGAGGACTGTTTTTCATATTGTTTCTGTATTGTACGCTCTGCTGACAGGGTGCAAAGAAATTCAGTTTTGTAGCCTGCCATTCGGGCAAGCTGTAGGTAGCATGTACTAGCCCACAAGTCATTTCAGCTAGCCCCAAAACCCTTTATGATTAGCAGGATTGATTACAATCCTTCTCTAATTTGATTTTCCCCCAAAAACAGCACTTGCACGTCGGGCAAGTTAAGAACAAAAATCACTAGCCCGATAGGAAAATCCACTAGCCCCGGGCTATCGGACACGACTTTCTTTGCACGCTGGCTGAACTTTCATCGTTCGTATCCGTGATGCTTCTGTATATTTTGCTGTAGTAACAAAAAGGCCACCTGCATACCAGATGATGTTTGGGATGCAGCCATCTCAGGAGATGTGTCCACTGTCAACCTCAGCAAAAACGCTCTGAGTGAAGTTCCATCCAGGTAGGGTATCTTTGTTTATACAAAAAGGTTGCAGTGTTTCCATTACTGGAAATAAAATAACAAATTGGCACAGGCTTCTTGTACGTTTGGATCAGTGTTACTGTCAATTGTAATGTATGGACAGCACTCACACATGATAAGAAAAAAATACTTAAAGTGGCGTGACCGAGTGGTTAGCGCGCCTTACTTGAAATCCAGCTTTAGTCCCCTTTCAAACCACTCGCTCTATTCGTGCCTCGCTGCTACCGAGTTATTTTTATTATAGTTATATTTGAATTATTTGTTTCTTATTATTTGACGGGAGTGCTTATAAACTAACTCGAAAGCCATAGTGCCCTTCTACTGTAAACTAAACTTTGCGTTAATACATTTTTGCCTAAAAAAGTTACATATTTACGGGCCTTTTTCTGCCTCTTCTCACCAGGTTGCTTTCTCTGGGAAAATCTCTCACAGATCTCAACATGTCTTTAAACAAGATCAGTAGTTTGCCTTCAGAGTTTGGCTGTTTATCAAAACTCTCCTCTTTAAATCTGAGGTAATTTCATAATTTAAAATTGCCGATAATCACAGTCGAACCTTGCGGGAGGAAGTCGCACATGGAGGTTCGACTGTTATATTTTATTATCTTTAACTCTTGTTGCGATGCCCTGATTAAAAATGATTAAATTTAACTGAATTCTCAATTCTGTTTAGCTTATTGAAACATCACTCTTTGTCTACAACAGCTGTTCTCTTTGGGAATACCCTAAGGGGCCTGAAAAGCCGATTAGCGTTAATCCAGGGGTAAATTTTGTATTTTACTCTCCTATGTGTTGCGTAGAGTAACATTTTGTGTTATCATTACTGTATCTCGGAGTAAAAGGCACAACAGTACTTTGCAAACTCGAGTTGCATGTTCTTAGACAAGAAAACGTTGCTTAAAATTTGGCTTAATCGTGGGTTAAAGTTGACCATCCTTCGAGGAACCGGGCCCAGACCCCGCTGGTTCAAAAGATGGATAGTGCTATCCATCCGATAAATCGCTATCCATCGGATAAGTATTAGGGAAACCAATTACGCTATTCAGTGTATAGTGATTTATCGAGTGGAATGCGCTATCCACCTTTTCGAGCAACTGGCACCAGCAAGTTATTACTGAGCAAAAGACTGTGAAAGGTTTGAACCCAGCAGTCATTTCATAAATAGATGGAGCATGATCCTCCGGGTGAACGTAGTCCTGAATAGGACTTTTGTTGACAGTGACTGTGCGGTAGTCATCTTTAGAGTCAAAGTGAGTTGTATCACGTTAGTTGATGGCATTAAACGAAACGCACCAATGACATCCAAAACCATCACGGCTTAACTGACAGACGACCTATAACATGATTTACTAATAAGGTCAATAACAAGCGTTTTTAAAATACCATCAATTGACGTAATACAACTCACTTTGTCTCTGAAGATGACTACAGCACAGGTTGTCGAAACGTCAGTCACTGTCAACAACAACAGTCCTATTCAAGATTATACTCACCCGGATTATCATATTCCACCTACTTATGACAAAAGACTGTCCTTCATTCATTTTAATCAAAATTACCCCTTTAATTTCTATTATTATTAGCATCAACCAGCTGAGTGATTTACCTGACAGCTTTTCTAGGCTGACAACTCTGAGAGAAATAAATATCTCCAACAACAGGTGAGTTTTCTTTAAAATTTCTAAAGGAGTTTCTCAACGTACGATATAGTTCAGCTCGACATCGTCATCATCCCTTTGCCCTTTCATTTTCCAAGGAAAAGCCCTGAGGACGAGGCTGCGTTCAGTTCTACTCGTTGGTATTAGAGAGCTTGAGGTTGTGTTCTATTGGGACCAACCCCTTCAACCAAAACCGGTTTTGGTTGATTTGATTGAAGCTCCCAATGGAACTCAACTTTAGATTCGAGGACGAGGACGACTACGAGTACGAGATTTTCTCAATTACAAGTCGTGCACGCGCGTGAGCCAGCGTCATTTTGGCGGGAAAACGTGGTAGCCGTCGTCATTCTGCAACGTGATATAGCAAGAATAGGTCGTGGTGGCGGGAACAAGTTATCAAATGTGAGAAGTTTTTAACATTTTGCGATCGGGAGAGGGCTTAACTTCCTTCAGTGTGGAAATAACCGTACTAACTTTTGGTAAAAAAAAAGGTAAAATGAAGCTTTCCGGGGTTTCTTTCTTTTTTTTTTTGAGAACACGCGCAAAAACCTTAAGTTAAATGTCGTACCATTCCTCGTCCTCAAATCTAAAGCTCTTATTCCTTCTAATCCACAGTTATACCTCCATTAAGCGGCCACCCTCGAGGTACTGGCAAGTGGCCGCTTAATGGAGGTTGGCCACTCAATAGAGGTCTATCATAAAATAGCGTTATCTTTAGCGCAAAAACCACTTCATTTTGGAACAAACGCGCGACGTGAGAAGTATTACTGGTCCACAATCGGTCGTCAACTTCTATCTCGGACTGTATTTTCTTTCTTCAGCTCTGCAATTATTCTCCAAATAGCAGATGTCTTCCTTCGAGTTGTCTTCTTGTTGCTCTTGTCATGTTTTAGCTATTATTTCCCCTAGTTCTTACTCCTAAAAAGGAAGAAATGTCCGCCATTTTTATTTCACAAACAAAACAACTGAACCTCGTCCCCAGGTCTTCTTTGTTAACGGTGCATTAACCTGCAAGGAGGCTGCACTTTTGACGTCATCGGTTGATTAATCCCAAAATTCTTCCAATTTTGGTCATCAGTAGCTGGTTAAGGTGAATTATGCGTGTGCTTCTAGCCAATCAGCATCGGGGAAATATTTTGAATGAATAATAACCTATTATACAGTTATTTTGGGACTTTGATTACTGGCCGCTAAAAAGAGAGGTCGCTTAATGGAGATTCCACTGTACTTCTTTCTCTTGTTCGCGGTATTTTAGGTTTAAAAACGTACCGTCAGTTTTATACTCGTTGAAATCTTTGGAGATCATCTTAGCGAGTGGAAATCAGGTGAGAACATATTTTCCACTTCTTATGCAGGTTAACACATACAGTATTTTTAAAATTTATTTTGTACAGTCTTAACCAAGGAGCCCATACTGCTTTTGATTTATTCACAATCTTTCGTACAGATTTAATCCAGTCAGAAGCCAGCTGGAAACCGTCCTCGACTTCTGATTGGTTAATGTCTGTATGAAAGAATGTGAGTTAATTAAAGAAGGTCATGCTTTTGGGCTCCTAAGCTCTCCTTTAGTTTCGTATACTTTATATTTGGTACCCCTTTCACATTCCAAGTTTACAACGCTGCGTCGTCTTTAATTGCTGTAAATACACTGCCTTTTAAATTATATTATGGATAAATTATTAAACCAGGAAGTTTTGACTTTTTCGCAGCCATAAAATGCCACTTTAGGTCTTTTTGCAGACCGGACTGATAGTTTTTCCTACCCTTTTATATATCTTAAGCCTAAAAAAGGTGCCTTTTTTGGGCGTAGCCTCCCCGTATAGGCCGTAATAGTTAATACTCCCCGGGACAATACAATGCTTCAACCGTTACTTACCCCCCTTCAAGCTGTAGAAATGTAATTTGCTTCTTTTACTACTGTAGGTGCAAGCGATTGAAGTTGAAAGGTTGCTTCCGATGTCATCGCTTTCCACCCTTGATTTACAAAACAATGACATCGCTCAAGTTCCTCCTCAACTAGGAAATGTTACGCAGCTAAGGTGAGACGGTGGAGGAAAGCTTTTCCGGCTTGTTCGAACATTATGGTCTCTTTTTTCCATTTTTCTTTCTCCTGACATCGCAGTTTCTGGAATCAGAAACTCTCATTTAATTTTTAATTAAATGAAACTCCGTTCTGTTGTCCAAACCTCGACGAAAAAAGTTCACAGATTGTTTATTACGCTTTGAAAGAAAACGTGCATCGCGTTATTATATGTGTTAGGTTGATTCCACGAACGTAATCTTATGTTCCATGTAAACATAGAGGAATATGGGGGAGGGTCGGGGGGGTGCTAAAACCGCCATCGTGCAAGGCAAAAAAAGCAAATATCGCACTGTGTTGTCGAGAAAGAACCCAAACGCGATAATACTGTGTCCAGCTCGTTTAGGACCCCAATATCGCAATTTAATATTAAAATTACAGAAAGATTGCTTTAAAATTTCAGGGTCGGTTACTGATATAAACGAAGTTTAACTTAGGCTGCGGTTTAAGAAATCTTTGGACTTTGAGATCTCTTTCTTAGTAGGTTAATTTAATAAAAATAATGCTTTTCCAGTCTACGCTATTTTGCTTTATTGAAATTTTTCTCGATAAATGGTGTTTAGATTAAGGCGTTGGGCAAAAATAAATATGCCTTAGAACGCGGTTTTGTTTAACACAGGCTAAACTCTGTTTAAATAACGGGCCTTCAGTGTCCAAGGGAGAATTTGCTCACCCCGTCCTTACACTTGCTCTATGATTACCTTCCACCCAAAGAAGAAAAGTTGCCAATCGACTGCTTTTATCCTTGTTAGGTCGTTGCAGTTGGAAGGTAACCCATTCAGAAATCCAAGAGCAGCAATACTTGCGAAAGGAACTCAAGCACTTTTGGCTTATCTCAGAGATCGTATACCCACGTGACCATATTTCACGTGAATTTTAAAGACACCTCGGTACCGTGTTTTCGTTGAAGGCGGCTCTGGCACGGAATCGTTAATTACACCATCGAGATAGACAACTATCTTCAAAATAGCGAGTTCGAATGCTGTCTTGAATCTTATAATCATGCAAAGCGAGCCAAATCGAACTAACAACAAAAACGCCACGGTCATAGCGTTTTAATTTCCTTTTCAAAGAAGGAAATGGGAAAGACACTCTTTTGCTATAGCACTGTAGCGACGAAACAGGATAACTACTCTTTGTAGAGCCTTTAAATACTTGGTCTTTTTACGCCGGGTATGTTATCTTTCCGGTCTCAGTCCGTCAAGATTAGCTTAAGATCGAAGTTTAAGAAACACACAATGTTAATGCACCTTGAGTAAGGACCAGGGAATGGGGGGGGGGGGGGAGGGGATAAGTTTGATGGTCGTACGTTTGGTGCTTACCGTAAAGTTTTACGTTACATGTGCACCCATCCCCAATATGCTGTACACCCATGGTTAGTAACCATGGCGACTATCCCAGGATTCCTATCAGGATTAGGGACCTAGCAGAGCTTTGAACAACTCAACTGAGGTATTATATGATTTCTATATTTCCGAATTTTAAATGAGAGTGTAATTGCCTTACGATGACGTCACTTCGCTTGCTTTTAAAGAGTCATTTTCTCAGTTTACTCATTGCGCTTGTATGCGTACTAGCTCATTTGGTTTACGCGGTTATAATAATATTATAAACCAGCGGAAACGTTAAAATATTATGTTAAAGTTTCCACTGGTATAAATTTAACAGCTCTTGGCCCCAATCTTCGCAACGTCACCGCTGAACCTCTATTGAAGACAGTTTGTGAAGGGTCCTGTGGCAATAAACTGAGCAGGGGAAGTCTGGATACAAATAACCTCACGTGAAATGTTTACTCTCCTTACGACTTACTGGCCACTTTAGAAAAAAAGAAGGGACTGGATCCCATTGTTTCTGGGATCGTAAGCGAGACCCGCTGGTCAGTTATTGGGACTTTTCCCCGGCTTGATGCATGCTACCGAATTTGTATTGCTAAGTGTCTTTACTCGATCATGACGAAGCAGATTCAAAAATAATATCAGGGTTTTATTCTCTGGTGGACATCAAGCGTTCCTACCGCCGGTGTGTCTGGGCTAGAACGTAGACATGTTGGGTTTAGCAAGAGAGGATATATGCTCTATCTAAATTTCAGTCTTCTCTTCATGTCGCACCCTTCACTAAACAAAGGTATAATAACTAATAATAAATGATTATTGTTTTTTCAGAGAGTTGTTTATCTAAATGACGACCTCGTGTCCCTCTTAAATAACTAAAGAATAACAGACATAATATATGAGCCGCGCTAAACTACTATGACAAGATTTAACCAATGACAAAGTGGTGATTAAATCTCATGTTATGTTTTTGTTTCATCAAAAGGAGTTCAGTTAGTCCGTTTTAAAAAAATTAAAGTCTTTAAAATTTTCCAATAATTTTTCTTCTGGACTGTTCCATTCTTTTACAGATTTATTATAATACAAAGCGACTTTGTTAACTGTTATTCATAATTTTTAGGGACAGTCCCTTATATTTTATTCAGAAGTTATGCATGAAAAGGTAGTGAACAAAAACAGTTTAAACTGAATGTTTTCTTATGTCATTACGAGTTGTAGAAATTCACGGTCTTAAAGCCGCAGAAGAGTGAGAGAGAAATCGAACCGTTCACAGTCTACTGTCTCTTCAGTTGTTCGAAATGCTGTCAGTTCTGCACACTCCAAGCAAATGTACAGTCCCATTTGAGTCGATTAATTTATTGATGAACGACACATCGCATGCTAAGCGTGGCCTTTATCTGTGCGTGGCTGTGTCACTCGTTCTGACAATTGCACCTCTCGTCGCTCAACAAGGTACTATAATAAGGCTATATTTTTACCTTATATGATTTAAAAGACCCATTATAAAGTTACATACCGGTGAAATAGATAAGTGCCTGCATGATCAATAAGCTACACTTTGATGCATTCTTTACAATAGTTAACAAGCCGATGCATCACATTTAGTCCGCCTTATTGAAAGCTAGTCCTTTTTATACAGAGAGCTTATATTTGATTTGTTTATCACTTTACAGTGACTTTATAGTTTATGAAAAGTTCCTTTATTGAAGAAACCGCATCCATCTAGTTGAATGTGTTAATAAATATGACGAAGTAATGTTCCTTTTTTTTTTTTTTCGTATCCGGAGGAATTTAATGCATGAGATGATCTCATAAAAGCCGTATTAGTATACTTGCCTTAGAAACCGTTTTTTTCGTGTCGGGCTTAAATCAAATGGTAACTTTAATAGACGCAGTTTCACATAGAAACCATTTACTTAACAGTTTCTACTTTTTATAAGAATAACTCTTGAAGAACATTTCGAAGAATCATGTAAAGAATGTGCTTTGCAAGCAAAATGGCAACGATGGGCCGCGGGATGTCAGGTGTTGCAGTGAATAAAATGGTTTGAAGATAAAGCTGAGCAATAATTTCATTGCCAATATTGAAGCTTACGTTCCTCTCGAATTAGGCACGTAAACCGCTTATCAATACGTTCCTTTCATTTGAAGGGGCAAGTCGGAAATCTCTTCAAAATATAAACATTACTTTTGTCCAACTGGCAGATTTACGCCCAATGGATCTATAGTTGGTCATCATCTCACTCAGCTTTCGTTCGATATAGCAATTATTGTCTTTCCGGGTATAAAAACAGTGTCTAGAATTATTTTTTTGAATTACGGCATGCTTAAACATTTGCGTGACCTAACGTGACTAAACGTAAGGCGATGAAGAGCCGGAATAAGGTCACACTATCAGTCGGTTCACCCCATGTAAGGGAATCCGGGAACTTTTTACTTGTAGAATCCAACAACAAGTGCTTCACATCTGTAATTTTTTTCGTGTGGGTCAAAATCTTTTTCAATCTCGCCTGTACGTCATGGAAAAAGCTTTCTTCCTGCGTTTTTAAGGTCACTATTGATCACCTATGTGATAACCCTGAGCCTGGAAGAAGAAATTATTGTTTTGGAAAAAGTTTGGAAAAAGTCTGGAATTTCGGATCAAAAATCTGTACGAACCCTACACTAACGAGTAAAATCAGGAACACTGGAATCCAGTACCTGGAATCCGGAATCCACGGTATGGAATCCAGAATCGGCTAAAACTGTATTGGATTCCCTTTACATGGGACGATAGAGTAAAGCAGCGTTTTATAATTTAGCACTATGAAACAAGCGATGGAACAGAGAATATTCCAATCCCACATCCAGTGTTAATTCACTGTTCCACTAGTACAGGTAATCACATGAAATTTCTCGTGCAATTTGGAATTAATAAGCACAAGTAAATTTGCAATTTGTGGATAGCTTTAAAATCACGTAAACCACGTGCAAAAATAATTTCTTCAAATGCTGCAAATATCATCACACGTGCAATGAAAACAACATTTTTCTCGATGTTCTTAAAGTTTACAAGCCGCAGAAACGGGCTAAACAGTTCATGGAATCGTTCAATCTGTATCGGAGTCACTTTCGATGAAACGCAATCGCCGTTTGCAAGGTCGAATGGTAGGCGAAGTCTTGTTGTTGAGGCTGTATGTTACATTGCAGTTAGTCAAGG